TGATAAATCCATGCTGGGATGTCTTTTATTCCCCGTACGCCTTCTAGATGATTTTTTTTTCCTAGCAGTTTCTTAAGACCTGAAATCTGTGCAACCAATTAGAAACCTCAGGGTTTTGCATTTTTGGGGTTTGGTTCTTTCGGTTTTTTTGGGGAGAGGGGGTGAAGAATGGCATTTGCCACTTTCCAGCCTCCTGTCGCACTATCTGTCCGCCTGCAACAGTGGAGGCTGAGACTGCTCAGGCTGATAGGTAAATGTTATCTAGCTCAGCCAACCTGCAAATCTCTACTTCATGGACATCACCTCAATGCTTCTGAAGCAAGTTGCACTAGCTAGCGCCCCACTACAACTCATGCATTGTGGAGAATATAACCATGACACATGCTATATCATTATCTTTAGGATCTATGCACGATGAGCTTTTCCTGACAATTTCTCCAAACCTGTACCTTCGAGCTGCAGCTGTTTTCTTTCAGGGCAAGAAACATGGAAGCAGCAAGAATTCATACACACAACACATGTGTTTCCATGCTAACATCAATTGCCCTCATGATGCATATCAGACAGGCCCCTGAAAACAACCTAACTTTACCTAAGAGGGAGAGAAAAAAAAATGCAGAATTTAATTTCAGGAAAGCACAAACCATGACCTCTCTATACTGATCAAACATTGAAATACTGCTGTACTTAAAGAGTTAACAATTGTAACAAGCCCTGGATAAATTTTCTGTAGGAAGAGCATTTCTTCCTCTTCGTTTGAACTGAAGTATAACTTTGTTCTACCATGAGATATTCCCAGAATAACCAAGAACCATGACAAGCTATGGTCACTGAATTGTGCAAAGTTTCATTTTCAAGGTTTGCAGGTTTGGGGTTTTTTAAAAATAAAAATAACAGAGTTGGAATTTGTGGTCATGGTCAAACAGTGATAAAATTAAGAACAGATAAAGCCACAAATAAGATTTTTTGAGACTTGCAAGTTTGGGTTTGTTGAAGGAGGGGAAATAGTGCCATTTAATCAAAAGCACAAAGCATCAAGTGTTTGTTACGGTGAACAGGGAAGCCAAGGCTCAAAGAGGTCTGAAATTCAATGCAGAAGGCTGCTGTTCTAAAGCATAACCATAGTGCAGGAGAGATAGAAACAAAGGAAAGCAATGTTCATTTGCCTAGAAGTGTTTGTTAAAAAAAATACATCACCTGTAATAGCAATACACAGTAATAATGTTTAGGACAGCAGTAGCTGCTCAATGAGTTTTCAACTCAGTCGTCACCATCTGAAAATGCTCAGGATCAGCAGAACTATAACTACACCTTACTCTCCCCCAACTTCAACCAGACCCAGCAAAGCACATCTATGATAACCAAAAAGTTGGCTTGTTATTCAAGAGATAAGAATTTAGCTCTTAGCATAGCTTTCAAAGTAAACAATCCTTTGACATGCCAAAGTGCTTGGAGCCTATCCAAAGAGATCCTGCCAGTTTTATTTTTTTTCCCTTGCTTCTTGTTCAGAGTGGATTACTCAAGTTGTTTCGGTTCATCAAATGTTTTTAAGGCTATTTTTGAGTATTAAAAAGACTCCACAGATTTTTAAACAACTGATGAGGACAACATTAAGGTACATACACTAGAGTCAAACAACACTTACCACTGTTGCATTTGAAAAATGCTTGAAATGGTACAAAGGAACTTGAGCAAAAAGAAATCTTTCATCATGTAAAACAATGCTGTCGTGCCACAGCCTGCCTAATGCCCAGTGGGCTTCAGCAGAACCACCCCTTCAAATATGCAACAATTTTAAAGTTTTAACATCTGACCAGATAAGTCCTGCAAAAGACCAAGGAAAAGAGACGATGGCAGAATCTCACTTGGCTTTGCAGAGTGGCCCTGTCAGACTGGAGGAAATCCCACGAGGCAGAAGAAAAATAACACTGCTGAGCGCTGGATGCCTGATCGCCCAAAGGTGAGAATTGCTCTGGAGACTGCCAGCTTGAGAGGAGGCAGCTCACGGGAGCAAAGCAAAGTGGGACACATCAGATGTCCAGGAGGCCTGGGGACTCCGTAGAGCAACGAGGTGAGCAAGCTTACACTAAATTAGAAAGTGACTACATCTAGCTATGGTCAACTGGTATTGCCCCAAGAGATCAAAAAGAAACATGATAGTCTGCCCCATTACAAGTCTTACTTTTAAAGGATTAACCTGCCATCTATGATTAGCCAAAAGATTTTAGCCTGAGAAAGTTCTTATTCAAAAGAGAAAAGTGATAAAAAAGTTTGTACTAAAATAAAACTAGAGGTTAATTACTTACTGCAACAGCATACAGTTTCCTTTTCTACAGGCCAAGGAACAGTTGGTAATACTTGGTGACAGCACACAGCTGCTTGCTGAAGGGCATGAAGCAGTATGAAAAAAATCCACCAAAAATCCAACTCTTCTGTAATATTTTAAGGGGCCTCTGGAGGTCTCCTGTCCAGCCTCCTATTTGAACTTGAGCCATCACCAATGCCAGATAGATCAAGGCCATTGTAGCTTTGTCGAGCTAAGTCCTGAACCCTTTCAGGACCAGAGATCCACCAACTCTCTGATAAACCGTTCCCTGTGCTTTGCCACCCTCCCTGTGAGCAAGTTTTCCCTGAAGCCCTTTGAGAACCTCCCATAGCACAATTCAGAGCTGTAGACCCTTACTGTATTACCTAGGGCTCGATCCCACAATCTTGTAACCACCCCCTCAACTGCTGTAGGCTCCTGTTAGATCACCCTGCACCTTCTCCTCACAGGCTAAACCCAGCCCTGCTGCCCCCAGCTCTCCTCATAGCTCACATGCTCTAGGATCCCAACCACTCTGGACTGTTTTCTCAGCACTTCTTAAACTGGGAGGCCCAAAACAGGACACAGTATTTTAACTGATGCCTCCCCAGTGCCATGCAGAAAAGGTAATAACCCCTCAATCTGCTGCTCATGCTCTTCCTAAGGTAACTAGCATGTGGTTTCACTATTGCATGATGAGTGTAGTGTTGGCTCATACTCAATGTCACATTCAAAGAAGTCAATTTATGATTTGTACACAGGGCTTTTTTAATAACATAAATTGAGAGCTAAACACCCAGAGGCTAGGTAGAATCCATTAACCTATATTTGAGCAGCACCTTCAAAGAGTCATGGTGGATAGAAAGTCAAAACCAGCATGGATAAGCAGAGGATAATACTGGAGGCCCTTAGAAGTTCACGTCAGACTGACATGCATGGGCACAACCGCTCTTTCCAGTTTAAAAACAGTTCATTGGCTTTGAGGTTAGAAAGATGAGACTGCACTTGTGCAGGAAACCAAACAAGGAAAGTCTCTGCCTAGTGTGCCAGCTTAGTCACCGAGAAGTTTGCCCTAAAGTACCCTACCAAATCCTGTTTCACTCTGCAGACCTCTTCTCACCCAAGGAAAGGGTGAGACAAACAAGCAACTGCTATAGAGAAGCTGCTTAATGTGCAAATAGAAGGCTCTGAAACTACTCTGTTAAAGAGACTGTTATGACTGGACTGCTACACCAGACCAGAAAATTTAAAAGGTTCCAAAAGGGATCTTATAGGCAAGATAATTTAACAGATATAAATAATATACAACATGTTATATAAGAGGAAGACTTTAGACTCAGATGTTTTCTTCACACTCTGCAGTCAATACATAGAAAATGTGAGTGTGAATTCATGACTGCATGGTCAGTATCAAAAAGCTACTGTACAATACAATTTAGGCAGGACAGTAATCTCAAACAATGGCACAAATTATGACAGTCAGCAAGGATTTAGATGCTTAAGAGTGGCAAAAGTCAAGATAGAAAGGTAAGCCCAGATTTGGATGGCAATTAGAGAGGACAGCTAACACAGTAATGGTTACAAAACAAAATGCTTGTGTCATTTTAAACTGCAGCAAGAGACACTCCCAATATGAAGACAAGCAATAATCTGTGCTGGGATTGATGGACGCCAGTCAATATTCAGAAAAAATACCCCACAAGAGTTGTTGCTGCCTCAGAGATTTGTCACAGAGGTTAGCAGAGCAATCCTGTCTGCACCCAGACCTTTCCCCTTTGAGAGTCAGCCAGCTGACTGAAAACAAGCAATAGAATCAGAAGTTACTTAGCAATTTATTAACTAGTAGAGCAAGTACCAAATGTTACAAATTCAGTAATTATTGATTTAGAAGGTACTTTACCTGTAAAGGACCTCAAACTAAGTTAAACAAAAGTTTTTCAAATATTTTCATTCAGATCTTGTGATGCTGGAGCATGCCTTTCAACTACACTATGCACTCAACCATTCCACAGCTCTTCACGTGCTCACAACTACAAGCTAATATTCCATCTACTGATATAAATGAAACCCAGAAAAAGTAGTGCAAGAGGATGCTTTGTAAGCACCCTGGTTCCCAGTTTTCGGGCAAGTCTCCATATGCATTAATGATTCCCAACTGTTAATTCCTCAGCCCTCCCAGCCTTGGCACCCCTTATGACTTTTACATTTTCTCATCTCAGCAACTCTTTGTTTACATACCTTGCTGCTGCTCAACTGCACAGACCACAGGAAGATACTTGCTTGTGAAGGAACTGCAACTATTTTGGAAGTTACAGCCCTTCTACTGAGAAGTGAGACCTTACCAGATGGGTGCTCCTCAGCCATTTCAGGAAACAAATGAGGTTTTATTACCGAAAGAAGGTGAAACCAACAACGCAGGAAAGCAACAAAAAGCCACTGGGCAGGCTTCCTATGGTTACTAACTGTTCTCTCTTCAGCTTTTCAACACTAAGGATTTGGAGTTACCTGAACAGCAGTTGGGTTTTATCCCCAGGAAGCTGGGCTGATGGAAGGAACACGCTCTTTTGGGTTCCCACACAAAGATAGTTCCCAAGATTTGAGTGAGCACCAATGAGACAAGTGTGATATGTAACAGATGTGGCCCTTCAGAATGAAAGCAGGAAAAAGTGAGGCAGCGTATTTAACCCTGCAGTACCTGACTGGAAGACGTATCTGGCTAAGCCTTGCATTAATTCTGCTGGCCAGGTAGGTGGTGCCGACTCCCCCGTTTCTCTCTTTAGTCGAAACGTCAATTCAAATCCAAAACCACTTGGTCCATCTGTTCCCGTAAACCTGGAGGGAATGAACAATAAAAAGTCACAATATACTTCTTGTAAACAGAGCAGGCTTCAAGATTAGGACCATGAAAAAAGGAGAGTGTTCTCCTCATAGAAAAGTAAAGTTTAGAAATTCTCTTATTTCAGTCTACTCTAGCTCAAATGGCATATCATTGTTAGCTTAGTTGATGTAATACTATTTTGAAGATAAGTATCATAGTAGTGTTTTCACTCAGAATAATGCAGTCTTGGAACCATGACTTCTTTCCTGGGACCAGTGGAATTTTCAGCAACTTGAATTTGCTTTTAAAACATCATTGTAAGTTTGCACCGAGAACTAAATAGGAACACCAAAGAAAGCTGATAACAGAAAACGATGTTATTCCACTCTTGTGAATTCAAATTTCTATACATTGAGAAGTGGGATGCAACTAGAGTACTGGGTAGTAAGTTTCTGGTTTGAAACAGCTGAATATTTTGATGTACAACACAATTTCTGCATTGAAAGTGGTCAGCAGGGGAGAGGGAAACAAGATGATGCAGGTAGAAAGTTAATAACCTCTTGCACAATGCGCTAATTCTTACGTTGCTCCAATATATGCCTGCACACATTCTCCTTGCTTATCTAGGAGGAGAACAGTGGAAAAGCATTGAATATGACAACTACTGTTCAAGAAGCAGTAAGTAGTTTGGCCATTTCCCCATTTGACAGAGATAAGTGTCAATTTATTTGGTTTGGTCAGATAGGGTCTCTCCAGGAGAATAAAGTCATAATCAAAGTATCAAGGCTATAATGAAAAAGAGTAAACAGAGCATACTCCATACTACTCTTTCCTTCAACAAAACTAGTCCTCGAGAATCCTCTTTTTTATATTTATACGCAAGGGAAAGTTCCTGTTCCAAGTTGCCAACAGCTAAAAATGCCACACTTGCCTGTGGAAAATGAGAAACCCCAGGGACAAATAAGTAAGCTCGCGAACTTGAAAGCAAGTTGGGGACATCCATGTCCTTTTTACCACTGTCATTGCATCCCTTGCTTGCTGCAGAGGAAAGAAAGAAGGATTTACACTGAGCGTAAAGACATCTCACAGAAGCTTTCATGAACTAGTATCATTCTGCAAGTTTGAATCTCCAACACCTGCAGCCATTGTCAAATTCTCTGGAGAAACTTTGCAAATGTCTCAGATGCTGGTACCTTGCTGGCAGATATGAAAGGCACAGTGCACAAAGCTTTAACATTGTGCTACTACTAAAAACAGTCAAACAGAGCAGTCCGGAAAGTGATAAGAGCACTATCCATTTGAAAAACACAGCTCACCAGCAGTTCGGTGACCACATGGATGGATTGTTCCCACAGTAAGGGGTTTGGTTTGAAGTAGAAACACTTTATAGCAACCCTACCTAATGACAAATGTTAAAACTGATCGAAATTAAGCATCAGTGCAACTCCATCATGCAATGTAACTTTATTTGAGGATTCTTCAAGTAAAGTTTGACTGTGGTAGATTTTCAAAGGATGTAACGAAAGTAGTTATGAAACATATCCAAGGACAGAACTGAACTATGATTCATCTCTCAGCCCGAGAGATGACAACAGCTGTGACTGAAAACAAGACAGCAGGTATTGAAAGTCAGACATCTACAATAAAGGGGAGTTATACAATATAGCAAATAAAGACTTTATTTCAGTAGTATAAAAAGATACAAGCATGTATATTTTTCGTTTCCCTCCATATTATCCTCATGAAATTATCCTCAACAAAGACCTTGAGAATTACATGCTATGAAGAGAATTCTCTATGAACATATAATGCATTTCAGAGTGGTCAACTGGCACATATAAAACCTCTTTTAGGAAACAAATGTACCTTTAAGCAACAAGTCAAATAATGACATTTGATTCTTAAACAAAGCAAGAGCTTACTGAATAACCAGCCAGCCAGGGAGTGGAATCTGGGTGTGCAGCAAAATCCGTGTTCTGCAATCATGCCTGCAGGTCTACCAAAAAGATTGGTACGGGATGGTGATAGCTTCACAAATGTGAAGTTGTACTTTGTACATTCCGCACCCCTGTAGTGTTTTATTAGTTCACATATCAGATAGCAAAGGAAAAATAGAAATATTTCTTAAAGGGAGAAACAAAAACGCTTCAAAGTGGGTAATTTTCAAGGACTGCTTCCAGGAAAAAGTGTACACCAGAAACTGAAACACATTATGAATGGGTCAATTTTAAGAAGGATCAAAGTTAACAAAAAGCCTTCAAGCTGATCTTTCACAGTTAAAGTTTTTGGAAAGTAAGATGGCTCCCTATTGAATTTCCTCCTTTCAAGGCATGTTCTGAAGCAACACAGCTTTACTTCTAATATGCATGGAGCTAGAGGTTAATGGTTGGTTTATGTTTGGGGTTTTTTGGTTTTGTTTTTTTTGTTTGGTTGGTTTGTGGTTGGTTTTTTTTTTAACTCCACAGATGTCTCTGCTTCCCAGAAATAACTGTTTAAGAGAAGACCACACATGCTTTATACTGATCCATATGCAAGTTACTCAGTAACAGAAGTGTTCAGGTGAGTATCCATCAAATTTAAAGCAAGATGAGCATTTAGGAGAACACTGCCGGTCAGCAACATAATAGTAGTTGCGAAGAAGTAAAACTGACAATGTTACTTATGTGATTTTTTGTATGGTAATGAAAGAGACTCTAGAACAGAGAAGAACTACTAGAAAATAAATAGAATAAAAGAAAAGGAAACAAGCAGTAAGTTACTTCCAAGATTTTAAAAAAATCCCTGAAGAATCAAAATATGTATCTTCTAAAAAACACTCAAAAATGCGGCAGCAAACAATGCTTACAATACTCAAATTCTTAAATTAACAGTTAACTCTTAGAAAAATCCTATTTGCATGTAAGAGTTCTGTATTTAAAGATTAGATTTAAAATGGTTTTGAATAGTTAGTGGTCACAGGTTGCTGAAAATACACTGCTTTGTTACAGCGAAAATTTAAATCCATGCAATTCACCTGTATTGTGCAGCTGTTCTGAGGTAACAGTCTATAAAGTAAAAGTCTTTGATCTGTTTAATTTTAGGTTGGTAATTTGTTTTTGAAGAAATTGTGACACATGTGGCTTTAAAAGCTTGCAATTATTTTAGAAATCCTGTATGTTTAATTCAGGCAAGTCTTTCACAGGAAGAAAAGATTAATATTCAGAATGTAATTAGGATAGTCACTTTCAGTTAGCATTTTTGCCAAACATTTTGCTTTTATTCTTCAAAAAAGTCTTGTATTTAAAAGTTGAATGTAGTTTCAATAGCTGCCATAAAATTTCTCTGAATGAACAACGGACCAGAGCTCCTGGCTGAGGTTCAGAGGATATACATGAGAATGGAGGCAGATGCGAGCTTCAGGAACTAAATAAACCTGTAACAACCCTGCCACATGCCTCTGACCCTTGATCTAATGAAAATCATAGAGAAGAATCCAGTAGCTGAGTTATGCAGCTTGGCTTCTCTCATGGAAGTCCTTTTTCTAAGGAGCAAGCACTTACACCAGCCCCTACTCCAAAAATCTGTGAGGATAAGAATGCACCAGTCTGCTAGTGGAGAAGTAGCAGCCACAGCCAAACACACGGGAAATGAATTAGCTTGGTAAGAAGCCCAAGACCTCCAGATGCTCGTGCCATACAAATGGAAGACCAAGCAAAAGGCATTTTATCCCCAAGGATAAAGAGACTCCTCCCTTACAGCTGGGCTGTAAGCAGTTGCTCATCCCCCCAAACTACTTGTGTCCATTTTTGTTCAAGGCCTTACCAACAAGACAAAAGATGCACCTATCGTAACCAAGAAACCCATCCATGATGGGGAAGCTAATAAAGTAAGACTCCCCATAAACAAGTTAATTTATACCAAGATGTTCCATTACTTCCATGTGGAAACACTGGATTCCCACAGCAGCCTCCTCCTTGTAGGGTACGTCCCCACTGCTTAGGGGTTATCTTAGGAGGCTGCCGAGGAACTGGATAAGACAGGATCACACCTTGCACACTTGTAGATGTTCAAACTCGTGCTCCTTCCCACAAGTTCCCAATTCACCAGACTTCCAGAAAACTTCCAGAACAGTGAACCACCTTCAGCCAACAAGCTGAAGGTTGACCATAGTCAACCAACATGCTAAAAAAAAAACAAACCAAAACCAACGTATAGCTCCAGAAGAGACAAACTGGACAAACCTTATTTCCACCAAAACTGGGTGGAGGGGTGAGGATAACCCATAGACAGAAAAAGTCCTGCTAAAGCACATTGAAGCCAGGCTTTCTCATGACCTCTTCCCTCAACTCCCCAGTTCAGCGCTACTTGTACCTGTATTGTTCCCTTCCAAGCGAGCAAAGTGTCCACAGGAGGTTAGCCTGACCCCGACTCTTGTGTCAGCTGCAGAGGTAACATGTTTTTATCACACGCTTTGTCCTACAGAAGCAAGATTCTGGCACTATTTGGAGTTGGTTTCTTTGTGAGCAAGGGAGGTAGGGTCAGGGGTGGTGGTTTTGGGTAGGGTTTTTTGATTGTTTTTTTAAATCTGAAGGTGATCAATTCAGACAATGTACAACAGCCAATTTAGAACAAAGGCTTTGGAGCTCAGTTCAGCATCTGAACATTTAAGTGCTTTGCAGGTCATTTCTTCAGCAAAACAATTACAATACAGCAGTCCAGAAGCGCCTCAGCTTTACAGTAAGTCCATGATCTGAGATGGAGCGTGTGCAGGAAGGAAACCTCAAAATTAGTATTTTGTATCTGTGCGTGGCCCCAGGTACATAAACTGAAAGCTGCAACACAGCATTATGTTTCTGTACTGAGATCTGAATATTTCACATAGTTTGGTTTATGCCTTTTTTCTGCTGAACTCTGCAGTTTTGAATGAAAGTTTCTTTGGAATAGTCCTAAAATGCTAAGAAGGGGAAAAAAAAAATTAAGAAAATCTATATTTTGCCCCAAACCTAAAGATACTAACTATATACTTGTGCCTACCACCGCTTTGCCCCCTCCGACACGAGGGCACATCACCTTTATAGCCAACCCAATTGTGAAGCAGCTAGCTAAGTTTTCACAAAAACAAACACTGACGGAGAAATTCTTGGCTCGCTGCATGCCCACTGGCACACATCAGATAGTTTTATATTATGACTACAGCAGTAATGGGAGGCTCTGGTATCTGCCAAGTCAAATCCAACCCTATATTTAATATTAAAACCTTATTTTGTCGCATGAACAAAAATAAATCTTTTGAAAGCCAAGGTCATATATTACATGCCATTCTTTGGGTTAAAACTCCTTTTATCTGTTCAGCAAATCAGCTCAGCAGAACAGACCACATTGCAGCACCGCGTATATGCTGAAGGAGCCTGGCTTGTTCCTTTAACGAGGTAAGAGTTTCACTGATCATGATATTTAGTTCCAGCAAAAGAATCCAAAGAAATAGAGGTTCCTTTATTTACCAAGCTGTGCAGCCAGGCCCCCGAGCCCCCCGCCACCCTGCACTCTGCCAGCCCCTCTCCTGAAGCCACACACAGAGAACTAAAAAGCTGCTCCCCTCTGCAGCAGAATACCCAGGGCGTTTTTCACATCAAATAACCCAGCT